CGTTTTCATAAAAGCCGTTACCAATATGTATGAAAGGCTCATATAGGCTAATCTGCTGATTTTTATTAATCACTTCCAATTCCTGTTTTACATTTTTAGCAAAAACAAAAAGTTCATATTTAGTGTTCATCATATTTTTTACTGCACGTTATTTGACGTACATTTGATTGTTTTTTAAATGTATTAAATTATTTGACTGTTTGACATCAAAGTGTGTGAATATTTGTGTGAGTTTAACTTGTAGAAAAATAAATCACTAAAACCGAAACCTCTCTGTGTCGCGTGCTCTGCAGTGGAGCTGCTGCCTGCGGAACAAAGACGACTGTTGAAATGGAAGATGAGCGCCGTCACTCCGAACGTGGTCAAACACACCATCGGCAGGTCGCACTTCAAAGTCACAAAGAGTGAGTCGATTGTGTCCGTTCAGTCATTAAGGTTAGACGTTGGTAAACAGAGCAGCGGTGATGTTTTAAAACTATCGGTGAGGATTCAGAGGAAGAAGCTGTGATGTGATGATCGTCTGTTGTTCATGTAGAAAGCCACGACTGGCTCGGCTGCTGGGGACACCACATGAAGTCTCCTGGTTTCAAGGCCATCGGAGAACACCAGAAGGTGAGAACTACCAAACTGAAAGAGAGGTGAAGTTATCCAAATTATCTTTTTGATCTTCCTAATGCGTGTTCTTGGTTCGTGTCCTAGTTGAACCACTTCCCAGGAACCTTTCAGATTGGCAGGAAGGACCGACTGTGGAGGAACCTCTCCAAGATGAAGGCTCGCTTTGGGAAGCAGGAGTTCAGCTTCTTCCCCCGCACCTTCATTCTTCCTCAGGACATCAAGCTGCTCCGCAAGGCCTGGGAGGACGGAGTCTCCCGGCAGAAGTGGATCATCAAACCTGTATGTTCCTCCAGTAAAGATTCACTTCGTTGGTTTACTCTCAGCTATAATGATAAAAAAAGAAATATCTTTAATTTTTAAAGCCAACGTGTTTTGTTCATCTCTTTATTCTGTTGTTTCTAACAGCCGGCATCAGCCAGAGGAATCGGGATCCAGGTCATCCACAAATGGAGCCAGATGCCACGTAAGAGACCACTACTAGTTCAGAAGTAAGTAGTCCAGAGACCTGACGCCACATTACTCATCACTCGCTCCGGCTGAAACTTCATGAACGTGGTTGTGTTTTTACAGATACCTTCACAAGCCCTACCTCATCAGCGGCAACAAGTTCGACCTGAGGATCTACGTCTACGTGACGTCCTACGACCCGCTCAGGATTTACATCTTCACCGACGGGCTGGTCCGATTCGCCAGCTGCAAGTCAGTTTTTCACCACAGCCGCCTCAAAAGACGAGTCAGTGTAAATGAGCCGGGGTAACGCGCCTGTCCTCCTCCCTGCTGTAGGTATTCGTCTTCCATGAAGACTCTGAGCAACAAGTTCATGCACCTGACGAACTACAGCGTCAACAAGAAAAACTCTGAGTACCAGACGAACAGCGACGACAAGGCCTGCCAGGGACACAAGTGGTAACGGACCGTTTCCTGGTTTTTTTTCTGTAACTTAAGCAGCCAAGCCACTTCCTGTTTCCCCCACATGACCAGTGTAATGTGTGAATGTGTGTTTTTAGGTGTTAGCGCGGACGGACATTCTTTCTGATTAGGAACTGAAACAGTTTTAAATGTACAACACTGTTTGACTGAAGGAAGGGAGGAACTGATTTATTAATTATTTATTTAGAGTTTAAATGAATTAACAATTGCAATTCTACCTGAGAATAACTTTGGGGCGGAGAAGCCATTTCGTACAACTCCGCTCCACTTCCGATCTTTGAGACTGACCAAGTGTTTTCTTTCTCTGCTCATGATTCTCTCCAACTAATCCTGTCGTTGTGTCTTCAGGGCTTTGAAGGCCTTGTGGCAGTTTCTCGGTTCTAAGGGAGTCAACACCACTTTGATTTGGGAGAAGATTAAAGACATCGTGATCAAAACCATCATCGCGTAAGTTTCACTCGCTCCTCGACGGCCATCGGCCGAGTGATTCTTCCTGGTTTAAATATGAAGTGAGTTCACAGCAGATCATCCGCTCGCTCCTCGTGTGGGGAAACATGAAATCAGCTCAGTTTTACATTTTGCATGAAATGAAGTGACGACCGACTGGAGACGGGGAAACGCTGAAATAATAATGATGATGATGATGATGAAATGCGTTGGTCTTTCAGGTCAGAGCCGTACGTGAACAGCCTGCTGAAGATGCACGTGAAGACGCCGTACAGCTGCCACGAGCTGTTTGGCTTCGACATCATGCTGGACGAGAACCTCAAACCCTGGATCCTTGAAGTGAACATATCACCCAGGTAACACACACACACACACACACACACACACACACACACACACACACACACACTTCTCAAACCACGTCTCGTAACTGTCGGCGTGTTTCTGGTGCAGCCTCCACTCCAACACAGCGCTGGATGTTGCCATCAAAGGTCAGATGATCAGAGATCTCCTGAACCTGGCCGGCTTTCATGTTCCGCAAAAAGATGTGGTCGCTCCCTGCAGCTCCACCTCCAGCTCCACCAGCAGGTAGGGAGGAAGTACTTCTTCTCAGAAACTCGGGTTCACACCTACATCGCTCGACTGACAGGAAACCGAGCGGTGATGGGTTAGCAGCCTTATTGTTTAACTCACCCTCCTCTCTCTGTGTGTGTGTGTGTGTGTGTGTGTGTGTGTTTGAAGTCTGTGTGGAGCGACGAGGGAGAGGACCAAACTAGACCTGTCCACTGATGAGAAGGTTAAAAGGGCATTTTACCTCACACAGCGCTACGCCGACCAGGTACACACACACAAATCAAAGTAAATTTACACTCAGACAATATGTGTTAAATCACAGGTCAAAGAGTTTATTGAAACAGAAGCAGCTCCATGTGAAAGGTTTCCTCTCGTCTCTGTCAGGAGTTCCTCTCCACGGTGATGGACGTCTTGACTCCAGAGGACGTTCGCGTGCTGGCAGAGAGCGAGGACGAGCTGAGCCGCCGGGGAGAGTTCGAGCGAGTTTTCCCGTCGCCTTCGTCGTCCCGCTACCTCCGCTTCTTCGAGTTTCCGAGATACCTCAACATCCTGCTGGACCAGTGGGAACGGAAATACTGGAGCAGCAGGACGAAAGGTTTGTGTGTGTGTGTGAGTGGAGGAGAATGGAGAAGGAGAATCTCTGAAACTGAGTTCAGTTTAATTCTCTGTTGTTGGTGCAGGTATCAGTCTGCTGCAGACTCTCTGTCAGAACGGAGTTCATCTGGGAACCAGCGATCCTGCTCACATAGTAAGTTATTTAATTCATCTGAATAAATGGTGATATTGTTATAATTAGAACGTTGGTGGCTCGATTTAAAGCGTTTAATAAATCTGTTTGTGTAGTGGTCCAAGTGTAGCTACGTCTCCAGGTGTGAAGACCTCGTCAGCCCATCCAGATCCAGGTACACACACACACACACACACACACAGTAGAACAATCTATAATACAGACAGATTCTCTCAGTTTCCTCCTGTCCTCTCCTCCAGGGTGGTCGTCAGCCATCGTCACCGCTCACTTCACGATGACAACGACGGCGCTTCGGACGGGGAAGTCGCCCGCGTCTCCAGCCTTCCTGTTTCTCCCAGTCCTGGGTCCAGTGTCACCAGCAGTGCCTGCACGAGCCCTCAGCCCAGCCCCACCCAGAGCCTGCTGCCGCACCAGTTCGCCTCGCTCTGACCATCGGGTTTGCCAACATGACGCTCAGGGTCGTATTTAGCCTCATCCCCTCCCTCAGCACCCTTTTCCTTCACGTCTGATAGATCTTTAAACTCTAGATGAGAAATGCACTCAGAAGTTTGAAGCCCGGTCTTAACCAACACTTTAGAAGAAGGGAATTTGGGTTTTGAACAGAATTAAAGCTTCGGAAACAGATACTAATGGGATTTTGGGCAGGAAGCAGCTTTTCGGAATATTTCAGCGCTCAAGTCACGAGTGTCGCAGCTTAAAAAGGAGTCATCGGTGTGACCGTGACCGTAATGACGCTGATAGAACCCTGCGCAGTCCGCACAACGCCATCTTGCATAAGATCACGAGAAATAAGTTGTTCTGCTGTGTTCTTTGCGAGTACTGTGGCACGTCATAGTATTTTAATCCATCATGCAGTATCTTAGTGTCTTTAAACCCGGGCATGTTTTACTGGAACTTGACGGCACTTCACACCTGCACCAAGAGATTCGTATTTAAAACTTGAGGTAAAAAATTAGGTAAAACATATAAAAACCAGAACGATCTCCTGCTGTGCTCATCACATGTGAAAGATAAACTCTTAAAAAACTTAGTTCATTGTTTTCCTGGACATTTTCCAGAGTTCACACAAACACACATATATA